GCTAGAGAAGCTGTGGTATATTCGCACAATGGAATACTATGCTGCATTAAAAAACAAGGAACTCATGCAATATTATTCAAAATGGTTGACTCTGATTTCCCATAATTTTAAAAAATATTACCCTTTTTTCTACAAGGATGGCACCAAAAGTAGAAGAAGGAAGCCCCCGCCCCTCCCAAAACTGAAGCCAAAGCAAAGGCATTAAAGGCCAAGAAGGCATCCTGAAGGGCATCCACAGCCACAAAACAAAAACAAAACACCCAAAACTGAAGCCAAAGCAAAGGCATTAAAGGCCAAGAAGGCATCCTGAAGGGCATCCACAGCCACAAAACAAAAACAAAACAAAAACAAAACAAAACAAAAAAAAATAAAAAAGAAGAAGATCTGCACGTCTCCCACCTTCTGGTGGCTTAAGACACTGAGACTCAGAAGGCAGCTCAAATACCCCCAGAAGAGCGCCTTCAGGAGAAAAAAAACTTGACCACTAGATATCATCAGGTTTCCCCTGGCCACTGAGTCAGCCATGAAGAAGATAGAAGATAACACATTTGAGTTCATTGTGGATGTCAAGGCCAACAAGCACCATATCGAACAACCTGTAAAGAAGCTCTGTGACACTGACGTGGCCAAGGTCAACATCTTCATTAGGCCTGATGGAGAGAAGAAGGCCTGTGTTTGACTTGCTCCTGACTATGATGCTTTGGATGTTGCCAACAAGATTGGAATCATCTAAACTGAGTCTAGCTGGCTAATTCTAAATATAAATTTTTCTCACCAAATAAAAAAATATTACCATATCTTCTATTTAATTCATTTTAGCTCAATGCCACAGTAGCATTTCTCCTTTATAGTGTTTGTAGTGTCTTAACTGTTCACCTCATTAGATACCGAGTAACTTAGTAAACCTTCCCAACATGAACTATATGAAGAAGAATGTGACATCAGGATTAGAGGAAGGCTTATCAACAACCTCCACAATGCAGATGACACAACCGCGCTTGGAGAAAGAAGACTTATTTACTAAAGAATATCAAATATTACAGCCTTCAATATGGATTACATATTATCATCAAGAAAACAAAAGCCTTCACCAATGGACCTATAGTAAACTTCGTGTCAGATGGAGAAAATACTGAAGCTTTCAAGAATTTCATTTTGCTTAGATCCATAATCAACACTCATGGGAACACCAGCCAAGATATCAGATGTGTTACATGGGGAAATACATTGTTCAGGACCTCTCCAAAGTGTTCAAAAGCAAAGATGTCAGTTTAAAGACTAAGGTGCTCCTGACCCAAGCCATAGTGTTTTCAATTGCTTTATATGCGTGAAAGTTGGATAATCAATATTATTGATATTGAAGATTTTTTTTTAATCGTAGTACTGGTGGCAAGAATTAAATATACCATAGGCTCTCAAAAGAACAAGCAAATCTGCAATCTGTCTTGGGGAAAGTGCAACCAGGGTGTTCCTTACATGGAAGAATGGTGAAACTTCTTCTTACATATATTAGGTGTGTTGTCAGGAGGAAAAAAGGTATCAGTCCAGAAAAGGTGGAAGGTCAGCAGGAAAGAGGAAGCCGCTTAAGGAGATGGGTTGACACAATGACTGCAAGAATGGCCTTGTGTACAGCCGAGGTCATGAGGATAGTCCTGGATAGGCAAATTTTCTATCTGTTGTTCATAGGGTTGCTATGAGTAGTAGTTGACTCCATGGTACTTACAGCAACATGATCTAGTCATCAATCTACAAGCATGACAAGTAATATAATAACGGGGAACATATTGGTGATTCAGGAAATATACAGATTCTTGTGATGTTTTGTTGGTGTCTGCAAAAACACTGTAATTGGTAGGTGAAACATCATATAAAATTATAACTAATGTAAGCTATACCATACATATGTGTTTATACAGATGTGTGTGTTATGTCCACAACACACATATTATTTAATCTGAAAAAAGTCTCATCATCTAGAGAGCAATTTGTACTAGAAATACTTAATAAGTGGGGTGGCATTTATGATAATACATAATAAAGAAGAAATCTGAGCAACAGCAGAAGGAGAGGGAAGAACATTTCAAATCAGAGTGTTGATGATGTTGCTGTTTTTGTTGTTGTTATGTGCTGTCGAGTTGCTTGCAACTCATAGCGACCCTATGTACTACAGCCCTAAACTCTGCTCTGTCCTGTGCCAATCGCACTGTCTCCAACACACCCATCCTGATTACCGCAGTCACTGAATCAATCCACCTCATAGAGGGCCTTCCCCTTCTGCACTGTCCCTCCACCCTCCCAAGCATGATCTCCCTCTCCAAGGACTTCTCCCTCCTTACAACATGTCCAAAGTATGTTAGATGGAGCCTCAGAATCCTTGTTTCCAAGGAGCAGCCCGATGTAACCCTCTCCAGGATGAATCTGTTTGTTTTCCTAGCAGTCCATGGTATTCTCAATACTCTTCTCCAGCACCACAGCTCAAAGGCAACAATTCTTCTTCTATCCTCCTTAGTCATTGTCCAACTCTCTGTTGCATAACAAGTGATAGCAACGACCATGACCTGCATCAGACGCATCTTAGTCTCCAGAGAGACACCACTGCTCTTGAGTACTTTAGAGAGGTCCCTAACAGCAGACTTTCCCACCGCAATACGTCTTTTAATTTCATGGCTACTGGTGCCAAGAGTGTTGACTGTGGAGCCAAGCAAACTAAAGCTGTGAACAATCTCAATCTTTTCACCATCCATCCTGTTGCTGCCAATTGGTCCAGTGGTGAGAAACTTTGTCTTCTTGACACTGAGCCTCTATCCATATTGGAGGCTGCTGATGTAAGATGGTTAAATATCAAAGCTGCAAAGGGGAAGTTGAAGATGAATTACACAGTGGGGAACATTAGGCATTACTTGTGGTTGAAGACATTTGTATGTACAAATAAATTATACACATTATACAATAACCTCTTCTGTTTTTAAAGCCCTTTCAATTTATAATACTTTGGTATTTGTGTGTGTTTCCACAACTGGTCTTTAATCTTGGCAAGGAAATTAACCTTAATATCTTAA